TGGAAATAGTGCACAATTTGTACTTTGGAGACAAAAAAATGAAGATCATACTGAGAACACACATCTGCATTATCATAAACTTGTTCTTTTTAGGGATGGGATTCGCTCCTTAATTCAGCAGATACTGTACGTCAGAGTTATTCAGGGAGTTAGTATTATAAGTCACAATGTAAACCACACCCAAAAGGCAACTGAAAAGTAACTCAACATATTAAATAATTTTGTATTTATTTAAAAAATAATCAATTAAATGCAAAAGAGTATATTATAATGCTTAAGAATTGCTATGGACTGACTTGTGTGCCCCATAATTTATATGTTGAAGCCTTTCCTAACCCTCAATGTGAAATGTGACTGTATCTGGAGATAAAGGCTCTAGGAGGTAATTAAGGTTAGATGAGATCATAAGAATGAGGTACTAATACCACAAGACTATGACCTTATAAAAAGTGCAAGATCTCTCTCTAAACACACACACACACACACACACACACACACACACACACACACACACACTTTGCTCTCTCTCCCTCTCCCCTTCTACATCAAGTAATAAATGACAAGGAAAGCAGCCGTTTGTAAGCCAGGAAGAGAATCCTCACAAAAACTCATTCGGCCAGCACCTTGATCTTTAACCTACCAGCCACCAAAACTGCGAGAAATTAAGTTTCTGTTTTTGAAGCCAACAGTCCATTGTATTTATTATGGAGACCCAAGCTGACTAAGACAAGAACATAGATTGTTTTTTTTTAATAAGAGGACACAGTTTTAAATTCTTCCCTAGCTAACTCTCTAAATCTCAATTTTCTGTTGGTAGAAAGTTATGAACCTATCTCCAAACTCTGCTTTTAGAAAAAAAGTTTATAATACATATAAATCAGTTATTATTGTGACATCATATTATCAGATTATATATCCAACAACTTTATTTCCAATACCTCACATTCTGAGGTACAGGAGTTTAGAACTCCAGCATATCTCTTTTGGAGGGGGGCCACAATTCAACTGATGACAGATAGGTAGAAATGACATGTTATTATTCTGATTTATGTTTATTTAAATGTGATTGAGATAGAATTTATTTTCATGTTTGTTGGTTATTTTTATTTTCTATTGTCTATGTCCTGTCTTATTTTTCAATTGAGTTGTACATCTTTATATTCTGAAGGAACTCTTCATAAAGTAATGAATTAAATCTTTTGTACATCATGTACGTTTAGTATTTCTTCCGTTTGTCATTTGTCTTTTGACTTCATATAAATTCAAATAAGTAATCCTGTCTTCTAGATAATTTTAAATTATACATAACCAAATGTATTCTTTGTTTAGTTTTGCTTTGTTTCTAGGTCTTAAGTCTTAATTTCAAAGACTTCTCCTACCCTTGAGTTAATGAATACAATTACTTGTATTTTTTAATTAAACATTTTATCCACTTATAATTTATTTATTTATATATTTTTTTTGGAGATGGAGTTTCGCTCCTGTTACCCAGGCTGGAGTGCAATAGTGCGATCTCGGCTCACTGCAACCTCCGCCTCCTGGGTTCAAGCAATTCTCCTGCCTCAGCCTCCTGAGTAGCTGGGATTACAGGCACGCGCCACCATGCTGAGCTAATTTTTTGTATTTTTTTTTTTTTTTTTAGTAGAGACGGGGTTTCACCATGTTGACCAGGATGGTCTCGATCTCTTGACCTTGTGATCCACCTGCCTCGGCCTCCCAAAGTGCTGGGATTACAGGCTTGAGCCACCGCGCCCAGCCAATTTATTTTTATATTAAGGTATAACATCCCCTTTTATATTCAAAGTTATAGATAGCCAATTGCCCTGTTACATTTGTTGAATAATATAAGTTCCCTTTATTTTCAAGAGATTGTCACTTTCTTCTTTGGGTAATTTTATTTTTCTTTATTTCTTTTCTTTTCTTTTTTTGAAATAGGGTCTCACTGTGTTGCCCGGGCTGGATTCAAAATCTGGGGCTCAGGTGATCCTCCCAACTCAGCCTCCCAAGTAGCTGGGACTACAAGCATGTGCTGCTAAGCCTATCTATCTGGTCCATTTTCTATTTCCTCTGTAGTATTAAGTTTGTAATTTTGTCACTTAACATGTGAAAGAACTATATGCTCATTAAGTTCTTAAATATTCCAAATAAATTTGATTATCACTTTGTCAAGTCATAAAATATCCTGCTGGTATTATGTTTGATATTTCACTGAATTCAAATATATAAGAAGAACTGATACTCTTAAAATCATAACCCCCTAGCATACAAATCATGGTCTCCAGATACCACACTTTCTTAATAAAAGAAAGTAGGGTTCCTTAGACATATAGTTAATTATAAGTATGAAACAAAAGGAAAAAAAATGAATAAGGGGATCCCAGACATCTTTTTAGAGCAGGTAGCAAGGCAGTAAGTAAAGCTTATTAGAGTTGTGTCAAAAGCACTCATGATTGAATTTTGAACAGGCTGCCATCTGCTAAAATTAAAACAATATAAGTATCAAGAAGAATTGCAATGGATTCTAATATATAACACCAAACAATAACTGTAACAACAACAAATAACTTGGTCACCATTGGAGAATGATAACAATGATTATTTTCCAATCCCAATGCCTTGACTTTTCTGTTCTTTATAGCGTTGCTGGAATAGTCTCATCAGCATTCTTATCCCTCTGATTGCAAACAAACAAGAAGGGACAAGTGGTATCAGTTACCACCCAATTTAGTTGATTTAGATAATTATATTTGAGACTATTGAACTGACGAAGTATAGATGAACTTTTTGGACTTTGAGTTCATATTATAACGGGATGGGACTTTGGTAGATGGATGTTGCATTTTGTTATGTGGTCAGTTGTGAATTTGAGGGGTTGCAGAACTATTTTAGTAGACAAAATAAAGGCCTCTTCAAATTCTTGGAACTTGTGAATAGTTACCTTACATGGCAAAAGGGACTTTGCAGATATGAGAAGCTTACAGGGTTTGAAATGGAAATTACGTTGAATTGTCTAGATAGGTCCAGTGTAATCACATGACATCTAAGATTTGGAAGAGCAATGCAGAAAGATGTCCTCTGTGAAGGACCTGACCTACTGTTCCTGGCTTTCAAGATGGAGAAAGAGGGTCTCTGAGCTAAGAAATGTATATGGTCTCAGAAACCGGAAACAGCTCTCAGGTTACAGCCAGCAAGAAAATGAAGACCTGAGCCCTACAACTGCAAGAAAATGGAATTCTGCCAATAACTCAAATTAGCAGGAAATGGATTCTCCCCTAGAACCTCCAGAAAGGAATGCAGCTCTGCTAACAACTTGATTTTACTTCAGTGAGAGCCATACCAGATTTCTGATATACAGAACTGTAAAAATAATAGACTTGTGTTGGTTTAAGGCACTAAATTTGTGGTAATTTGTTAAGGCAGGAATAGAAAATGAATACAACCTATTAAGTTCAACCTTAATTCTAAAGGCCTTCTACTCTGAAATCACATTATCTTTATCTGCTTCTTGAACAAATCAGGATCTTGTAAGCAAGAAGAAAGGAGTGGGTGGCAGGGAGAATGCCAATGACCAGTTCCTGCCACAATCGACTAATCTTGATCTGGTTTAAGTCTCTAGTTCTGTCTCTCAAGAATTCTACTTCATACTTTATGATCCAGCACTTTCTAATCTATGGGATAGATGATCTCTTGCTTCTATGCTCTTGGTAATTCAGTTCCTCTCCCTGGAACACTTCCAGCCTATTGCCCATTACAATTAACACTTAAGAACTAAGTGCTTGAATTCTTCAGTCTTCATAAGAATCTTACCGAACAGCACTCATTACAGATACTCACTTTTTATACTTTGCATTATGAAATACTTAAAAATGCACAGAAGTAGAGAGAATGTTACAATGGATCCCTATCAGCCTGAATTCAGCTTCCATAATCAAAATTAAGTCAGATAGAAATAAACAGCGATGTATTCCCACAGCAGGCTAACATGTTGTCAACAGGGATGGTTTGATTTACTATCTAAGCTGAGGAAATGGATTGTTTTCCAGGATCTACCTGTCGTGAACTCAAACAGCAAAAATGGCAAAGCCGCTCTCAGAGGAGCCATTAAATGCGACCAGTGACCAGGATATGAGAAAAATCCTACTGCAGACTACAATCTGAACATGTCACAAGTGTCCTAAAATGGCTGTCACGTTACAGCACTTGTCCATAAGGTCAATTCTGGCCACTTAAACCTCACTTGAAGATAGAGGTAAGGGTTTTCTTTTTAATTTCCTTTTTTTTTTTTTTTCTTTTTAATTGCCCACCTCAGTGTTAGCATGGAGAAAATGTGTTCCTGCTCTCTTGAATAAATCGAATTGACTGAAGAATGCTTGAATTCATTTATCCCAAAACAAAGGCAGAGGACTGAGGGTCACTGGAGTTTCAGGGCTGTTCCCAGCGCTGCGAGCAGAAACGTCAGAGCCGACCGACCTCGGGCCCCGCACTGCGACAGGGACCCTTCTACGGAGGATGGCTGGGGAGTCGGGAGGCTATAGGAACGCCGCTGAGAAGCAGGACCTCAGGCAAAGGAATGCGCTTTAGGAAGGAAGTGAAACGAAAGAACACAAACTCGAATCCTGGACCTGATTAGGGGCGCAATCACAGAAAGAGACAACGAACGGTTCTCATCCTCCCTTTCATTACCTCCAGCGGCAAGAGGAAGGCCGGAACTACGCTTCCCCGAATGCAGAGCGCGGGGCGGGGCTGAAGCGATGGCGTGTTTTTCTCAAGCGGGCTCGCGGGACAACAGGTTTGATTATAAACGCTTTTCCCTGGCCACGGCGCTCCTACCTCTCAGCCTGACTGGTCCGGGCGGCAGTGCGTGGGAAGGCGGCTCAGTCGTCACCGGCAGCGGCTGAACGGAGGCTCTTTATCCCGCGCCCTCACGGTAGATGAAGTCCTTGCTTTGGTCAGAGCGATAGCTGCTCAGATTGCCTAAAAGCAAGCTGACTACATTTCCCAGGGGTCTGCGGGACTGCCGGGCGGCGTGGGGGCGGTGCCTCACGTCTGGTACAGTCATCCCAAGCCACTTCGGCGGGACTGTGATGGCCAGAGAGATGACGATCTTAGGTGGGTTCCCGCGGGTCCTTGTTGCTCTTTCGGGCGTAGAGGCGGCCTGAGGTTGCCAGCGTGGGCAGGGGTCGTTGACTCACCGCCTGGATCCGGCTGAGCGGCGGGAGGGGAATCGCTAAGGTGACTTAGAGGCGGTTTTCGGCTGTTCGGAACGAATGGGGGTGGGGACGCCTCTAGGAGGGCCCCGGCCCCTGCCGGCCAAGGTCGGGAGGGGGCGACCAGCACTGTCATCCCAGCGACGCCAGTCTTAGGGAAGCGTTCCTTTTAACAGCACCTAGGGTTTTAATTGCCTGTTGAATTGGAGCAAGCTGTGGAAGGCTGCGAGAACGTGCACCTCCAGGACCCCTTTGTGGAGGAAGGGTGGGGGAGCTGCAGCCGGAGCTGTCGGCTCTTGGGTTCTGAATTTGGAGGGATTCAGGACTCTGATGCATAGCTCGATCGATGCTTTTTCCATCAAAGCGGGTTCGGGATTACCTATCCCCCACCCCCACATACCCCCAACCCGCGACTCGAAGGTGATGAAATGCTTCTGAAATGTTGCCCGGAGCTGGAAGGGGAAAGTAGAATTCGCATTTGGTTTTATTTGAGTTATGTGTTGATCAGAATGAGCTAACAACCAGTAACATGGAGACCTGAAAACTGACGTTTTGGGTAGTATGTAATATGAGTGAACACAGGTATATAACACAGCTTTCTGATACCAAATACGAAATTAATTCAAAATCCAAAGGACAACCTTTCTTCACTTATGTTTACAATCTGCGTGGCATTTGTTCCTACTCTTTTTTTCTTTTTTTAAAATTAGTATTTGTTGAGCATCTCCTGTTCCTGGTCTGGGGGATACAAGAGTGAACAAAACTTGTCTTCAAGAAGCTTTCATAGATGTTGTCGTCAGGATTGCCCACTTTTACGCTTCTTCTCTCTTAAATATTATCATTGCAAGAAGGATGGCCCTAGTTCATACTTAAATACATAAAAAGTTAACTATGTTATGAAGTGACAATTTTAATACCTTTGCAACTTCCAAAATTATTTTATCCAATTTATTCATGTCATCCTTTTGAAAGGGAGAAGAAGGTGAGATACGAGGAGAGAGTTTTAGCCTTATAATAATAAAGTTTTTGTTGTGAGGATTTTAATAGTGGAATTTAAAAAAATAATTGAAGCTGTTTATAAAGCTGTAAAGTCTAAATATTAATTGGTCAATAATATTAGATTATATCTGGCTTTTGGTCCAGATAAATGTTGTTTCTTGTCAGCATCCACACAAATAATTTTGAGATATTTTTACATTTCATTTCTTCATTCACCCATTAGAGAATGACACAAACATACAGTTATAGAGCTTTTCTGTTGTTTGTGTTGTTACTTCATTTTAAATTGTATTTTACAATTTACATTTTGAAAAACCTCCTGAGAGGGGTGTTATCAGTAGTCCTATACAAAATTTTGATACGTATCTTTTTTAGCTTTGTTTCAACGAGTGATACCAAAGGGTCTTTGCTACAGTAATTTAGCACATTGTACTAGTTTGATAAAATACATCTTTTAATTTTCCTGTATTTCAGGATCAGCTGTTTTGACTCTCCTGTTGGCTGGCTATTTGGCACAACAGTATTTACCATTGCCTACTCCTAAAGTGATTGGCATTGATCTTGGCACCACCTATTGTTCCGTTGGGGTATTTTTTCCTGGCACAGGAAAAGTAAAGGTGATTCCAGATGAAAATGGGCATATCAGCATACCCAGCATGGTGTCCTTTACTGATAATGATGTATATGTGGGATATGAAAGCGTAGAGCTGGCAGATTCAAATCCTCAAAACACAATATATGATGCCAAAAGATTCATAGGCAAGATTTTTACCCCGGAAGAGCTGGAGGCTGAAATTGGCAGATATCCATTTAAGGTAAGTGATTAATCTAAAATCTGTATTAATTTTAGTGTGCTCTTTCAGTTAATGCTTTGGCTTCATGTCATAAAACATTCTATCTCTTCTAGCTTAATCTATTAATACATGGAAGTTCTGTTATCTCACATAACAAATTCCACAACAGCTCTTGGATGAGTTAATCACTGATTCCAGAATGCTAACAGTTACTTAAAGGCCTTACCATTTTCTTGTTCTCACATCCTCAGCATGTCTGCTTAGCTCTTTCAGGGTAGTAGGAAGGTTGATGAAGCCCTGTGTACCATAGATAGATAATCTGTGTGTGTATGTGTACATATTTGTATACATATAAAGAGAATATAATGATGTACTAAAATTATTCTTGTTAATATGTACTAGAAGATTCTTTCAACTATCTATTACTCTTAGAAATGAGTAATTTGGGAAGAAAGGGAGAAGATCCTGAGTTACATATTTGAATGAGCAACTTCTATTTCTTACATTTTGTCATTTATTCTTTCATTTATTCAGCAGATATATATTGAGGATCTGGTGTGTTCTAGTTAATGTGCTTGGTGATGAATTTTATTCTGTTGTTATTAAACACTAGTATAGGCCAGGCACAGTGGCTCACACCTGTAATCCCAGCACTTTGGGAGGCTGAGGTGGGCAGATTACCTGAGGTCAGGCGTTCAAGATCAGCCTGGCCAACATCATGAAACCCTGTCTCTACCAAAAATATAAAAATTAGCTGAGCATGGTGGCTTGCGCCTGTAGTCCCAACTACTCATGAGGCTGAGGGAGGAGGAGAATTGCTTGAACTTGGGAGGCAGAGGTTGTGGTGAGCTGAGATCACACCACTGCACCCCAGCCTGGGCAACAGAGCAAGACTCCATCTTAAAAAACAAAAACTAATATGGATTCATTTTATAGATTTTAAGGTATAATATTTAATAAGTTCTAATCTTGGTGAATACACTGGATAGATTACAAATACATTTTTGATTTTGTAAAGATAAAGATAAGTTTTCATTAGGTCTAGTATTTATGTATATATGTATGTCTCTATCTGTCTTTTATACATATACATATATATCTATATACACACACATATATACGCACACACATATATATACACACACATATATATACACACATATTTTTACTCTTTTATTTATTTACTTATTTGCAAATCCTCTTCACAGGTTTTAAACAAAAATGGAATGGTTGAGTTTTCTGTGACAAGTAATGAGACCATCACAGTCTCCCCAGAATATGTTGGCTCTCGACTGTTGTTGAAGTTAAAGGAAATGGCAGAGGAATATCTTGGCATGCCAGTTGCCAATGCTGTCATTTCTGTACCAGCAGAATTTGATCTAAAACAGAGAAATTCAACAATTGAAGCTGCTAACCTTGCAGGTAACAGTACCCTTGACTGAGCTGCACTTTTCTCAAAGTTGTGTTAGATTCAAAACCTTCTGTAGTAAGGTTTATCACTTCCCAAACCACACAACCATAGTCACAATAAACAAACTATATGGTAGGTGTATTAGGATTTTCTGGAAGGACGGGACTAATAGGATATATGTGTATATGAAAGGGAATTTATTAAGGTGTATTGACTCACAGGCTCACAAGGTAAAGTCTCACACTAGGCTGACTGCAAGCTGAGAAGCAAAGAAGCCAGTCTGAGTCCCCACACCTCAAAAGTAGGGAAGCTGACAGTGCAGCCTTCAGTCTGTGTCCAAAGGCCGGAGAGCCCCTGGCAAACCACTGGCGTAGGTCCAAGAGTCCAAAAGCTAAAGAACTTGGAGTCTGATGTTCGGGGTCAGAAAGCATCCAACACGGGAGAAAGATGGAGTCCAGAAGACTCAGGCACTCTCATCCTTCCACATTCTTCTGCCTACTTTTATTCTAGCCACGCTCTGGCTCTGGCAGCTGATTAGATGGTACCCAACCAGATTGAGGGTGGGGCTGCCTCTCCCAGTCCACTGACTCAAATATTAGTCTCCTTTGGCAATACCCTCACAGATACACTCAGGAACAATACTTTGCATCCTTCAATCCAGTCAAGATGACAGTATTAACCATCACAGTAGGTAAAGTAGATAGCTTTTTATACAAGTCTATAATTTTGAAAGCTCTGTAGCACAATATAAAATGTATATGTAACAAGAACCAATGAGATAGCAACAGGACAAAGGCTCAAAAGAGAAAATGGACACATGTTAGCAGTGAGGAATTATTTCCTTTAAATTTCTTTATTGTTAAGGTCAATATAATTTTTAAAATCTGAGGTAGATCATTTAATCATTTAACATTTAATACCATTGAATCAATACTGAGGGCCTTACTAAAAAAAGAAAGAAACCTTTGTTTTCATGGAGCTCATATTCTACCAGAGAGAAAAACAGAATGAGCACAAAAGGTAAATTTAATAGTGTTTTCAACCTCTGCAATTCTGATGTTTTGGGCCAGATAAATCTTTATTGTGGAGGACTGTCCTGTAAACTACAAAATATTAAGCAGCATCCCACGCCTCTGTTTACCAGATGCTAACAGCACCCTCCTCCACCAAGTGGTGACAATGAAAAATGTCTCCATATGTTGTCAGATTTCTTTCAGGGGTAAAATCCTGCCTTGTTGAGAGCCCCTGATACAATGTATATCAAAAAGTAACCTACCATGAGGAAAAAGAACAGGATAATGGGTCAAGGTTGCTTTTGGTGGTCAGGGGATGGAGGGCTTTGTAGAATTTAAATAGGGTGGTCAGGTCATCGAGAAAGTGACATTTAAGCATATTTGAAGAAAAAATAGTTAACCATGCAGACACACGGAGAAAGTGTGTTGTAGGAAGAAGAGTTAGCCAGTGCAACAGCTGTAAGCTGGGAGTTTGCTGGTACATAGAGGCCAGGAAGTTGATCAGTGTGGCCAGAGTAGAGTAAGTGATAAAATCAGAGAGCTGAAGGGAAGGGTGTTAAGATCTTTGGAAGAATTCTTCAGAGTGTGAATGTTGTGATAGCTACTGATCCATAATATACCAACTTTCCAGACCACTCATAAGGATGGCATTCAGTTTAAAGTAGGAATTTCATTCGAAGAAACCTGATCTTTTACGGGCTCAACAAAAGCCTCTCTAATATCCGCAGCACTTAGCGATAGTATATAATGATTAAATTTTTATTGCTCATATGTTCCAAAGTAAAATATGATTATTAGAAAAGGCTGGGAGATTTTTTCAAAATTAAGGATCAATTAATAAAGAGTAAAGTGACCTATTCCAGTGAACCTTAGCTATTATTTCTTCATATGATAATCTTTCAGAATAATTTTAAAGACACAATTTAGAAGAGCCTATGTTTATTGTTCCCATTTCATGCTTCTGTTCAATTTTTGACTGCTCACATTATTACTCAGTGGTGGAGTTCGTGTCATAGAAGACACAAATGTGCTGTGAGATTGAGTGGGACAAGATTACTTTATAGCATCCTCTCATGAGTTTTTTTCCCTTCAACTAATCTTACAGGACTGAAGATTTTGAGAGTAATAAATGAACCCACAGCGGCAGCTATGGCCTATGGCCTCCACAAGGCTGATGTTTTCCACGTCTTGGTAATAGACTTGGGAGGAGGAACGCTAGATGTGTCTTTACTGAATAAACAAGGAGGAATGTTTCTAACCCGAGCAATGTCTGGTAAGAAAAATGTAGGGAGAGTTGAAGAAGTTTAGGCAGCTCTTTCTTTAACATATCCAGTGTGTAATGCATCCTTTTTTTTCCCCAGAATTCTTTGACTTCTTTTTGATAATTTTCTGTATATGTAATTTTATACCACCATTTTGTATATTTATAGCAAAAAATTAAATCTCAAAAAATGACTGGGCATCCTTTAAGTCAGATAAATACGTTGCCAGTTACCCGATTAGGGCTCACTGAACCGTCAGGACTTTTCATGGTGATGGTGAAGAAAGGGAACAGGAAAGAACTCTTTCTTTAAAATGAAGGGTGATCAGTATATTTCATTTAATACGTTTTATAAAATAGATGTCTTTAGAAAATTTAATTGTATTTTTTTTTTCCGCTAAGACAGTTGGTTTCACTAATGTGGGACAATTAATTAAATGTGTTATTACAAGTCCAACTTTGTTCTCTTTTCCCTATATCACCATTTAATTGTATTTTTTTTCCCTAGGAAATGTTAGGATTTTGCATTCTAAATCATTTTTGAATGGTTTTTGTTTTGTTTAATTTAGCTTAAGGAATTAAACCAGTTGGAGAAGTTGAATTGTAAGGCATAGGTATTCTAACTTCTGCATTTTTTTTTCTCTTAACCGGACCCTTTTTTGAATCAAGTTAAATATTAGGGATTTATATTACATTACTCGTTTCCTTTGAAATCATATTTCTAGTTTTCAGGTCTTAATCAGGCAAGCAAAAATATGAAAGGAATAAAAAGAGATTAAATACCTGCTTTTTGATTGTAAGAAGAACTTTCTTCTGTTGAGAATGACATTTAGTGTTTTTAAATAGCTACTTGTAAGCCAATCTGTATCCTTAATCTCTGTTTTCTGAAAAATTATTTGATATTATGAAGAGATGCTTTCTTTTACATAATTTAACCCAGTTATTTTGTTTTTGATTTTTAAGATTTTTGTTTATTGATTTATTTTGTAGAGACAGGGTCTTACTGTGTTGCCCAGTCCAGTCTCCAACTCCTGGCCTCAAGCACTCCTCCCACCTCAGCCTCCCAAAGTTCTAGGATTACAGGTGTGAGCCACCATGCCCGGAAACACAGTTATTTTTAACCAATCTTTGTTTGAATAAAATTTTAATAATACATGAAACAGGGATTTGTTATTCCCAGAATACAGTTTTTACATGTACGTAATAACATATGTGTATATACATACATATATGCATAAATATATTAAACGTTTTTATTTTTCACTCAGGAAATAATAAACTTGGAGGACAGGACTTCAATCAAAGATTGCTTCAGTACTTATATAAACAGATCTATCAAACGTATGGCTTCATGCCCTCTAGGAAAGAGGAAATCCACAGGTTGAGACAAGCTGTAGAAATGGTCAAATTAAATCTGACTCTTCATCAATCTGCTCAGTTGTCAGTATTACTAACAGTGGAGGAACAGGACAGGAAGGAACCTCACAGTAGTGACACTGAACTGCCAAAAGACAAACTTTCCTCAGCAGATGACCATCGTGTGAACAGTGGGTTTGGACATGGCCTTTCTGATAAGAAAAGTGGAGAAAGTCAGGTTTTATTTGAAACAGAAATATCACGGAAGCTCTTTGATACCCTTAATGAAGACCTCTTTCAGAAAATACTCATACCCATTCAGCAAGTATTGAAAGAAGGCCACCTGGAAAAGACTGAGATTGATGAGGTGGTTTTAGTTGGGGGCTCCACTCGTATTCCTCGGATTCGTCAGGTCATTCGAGAGTTCTTTGGAAAAGATCCCAACACATCTGTAGACCCTGACCTAGCAGTGGTAACAGGAGTGGCTATCCAAGCAGGTATTGATGGAGGCTCTTGGCCTCTCCAAGTCAGTGCTTTAGAAATTCCCAATAAGCATTTACAAAAAACCAACTTCAACTGAATTCTGGAGGAATAATGGTTATTTGTGATCTTGTCTGATTATCTCTTCCCATATGTCAGATTACCTTCTTCACAAAAGGAAGTCTCTATGTAATACATCACAGATTTCCCTACAGGGTAACATGTAGATACAGGAAAATTTTACATAACATTTTGTCTTCGGATTAGACATGACCAGATTGATCCCATTTGATTTTGGAGAGATGCTATTCTAACAAATAACTTCTAAAGTGATAAAATTGAGGTGCACCTCTCTTACAAGAGTATGGATGACTATGTTTTCTGGATTCTGGAGATAGATAACCGTATGCACTTAACATTATATTCTGCAAACATTAAATAGTGCCAATTATGAAATTCCCAGTTCTTACTAAATTATATTAGCAGGAACTGGTAATTACTTGGTTATCACATGTAACTATTAATTTGAACTATACTTGAAGGACAGCATTGATGTCAGGTATTTACAGTGGCTGGAAGATAGTAGTATTAGTATAAACTGCATACAAAAATATTCAATAACTGCTATATTTTATAACAAATCTACATTCACAAATTCAGTATCTTGTTAAGCCTCATATTGTAATCCCCATTGTCTGGGAGTGTTATGTATTTAATAGATGAATTTATTTTACTCCTAAAGGTATACAAATGTTTCAGCACTATGTAGTAGAAATACCCAATTTATATTCTAGTTCCTTTATGTCCTGTACGTCATTCTCTGCTTGGATTTCCATGATTCTTTTTGGTTAGAGAATAATATTACAATTATTAATTGCATTTGAACAATGTGTTGATGTCATAATAAAGCCATGATTATTATCTCATTTTTGTTATCCAAGACCTTTGAAAACATTGGCAAATAGTATCAATCACCTACGTATTTGTTTTATATTTTTGTTTCTTTGTTTATGTTTTCAGTAAGCCCTGAGGAATATAGCATGTATTTGAGATATTACATGGTTTTGGTTCTGTTTTACTCAGATTTTTCTTCATACTTAGTTTTGAATGAGGAAAATGTGCCAATTATAAAAGCTGTGTTACTGTTTTCTATTATTATTTTTAAATAGTCACACTTGGACTATTTTCAACCATTAGGTTAGTTTGTGAGGAGAGCAAAAAAAATTGTGAATACTGGAAATAATGTAGAAATCTAATGTGGAAGGCGTTGTGGCAGTTTCAGTTTCTACAAAACAGCATTTGTAGCAGAATTGTTTTTTTTGTTCGTTTGTTTCCTTTAAGAAAAACCACAGGGACCAAGACAGAAAATATTAACAGTTTCATTTCTATAATTCCCATTTTATTTGAAGATATATGGATACGTCTATATATATATATATATACACACACACACACAAACACACACACATATACACACATATTTACATATTTTCCTTAGTAGAGGAATGCTTTATATTGTTACTCAAAAATTATATCTGGTCAACTTTTTTTTTATTGTAAAATATGTCTGCTTTATCCATCGCTGAATTTGACAGTATGTTGAATTTCCAGTCACCGAAAAAGGAAACTAAGCAAGTTCATTTCAAAAACCTCAAAACATTTCAGCTTCTCATAGTAAAAAGCTGAATATTACTAATATTTTTCATATCTAAAAAAATTATTAGCAATGAAATTGCTGTTAAAACACAAATTTTAATCAAATACCTTAATGTACAGAAAATGTCTATAGCAGTTAGATAGAAAAGTATAAAATGTTTGTTGAAGTATTTTACTTTAGAACGAATAGAGAAATGCCAAAGATGAATCCTTCACTGCATTAGGAAAATATTCCAGATGTTCTCTTGGACTTTATGTAAGTCTGTAGTAGATTGTAGAATTGAAAAAGTCTTTGTGAAGGTCTTCTGAAAGTGTTCAATTTATCTCAGAATCTCCATATATAGGATCAGCTTTAACCTAAAACATTATTATATTAAAAAATAACTTGAGTTTCTCAGATGTTTGAGATGTTCAATACAATCTCTTAGTCCATTAATGCTTTTGGAAACAATTGACAAAGTAGGGCAGGCAGCTAATCTCATGTACTAAAGTTGGAATTTAAATAATTTGTATCTGAAAATTAGAATGACAGTGTTGGATTTTGGGGGCAGTAGTTTAGCATATTCTCTAGTATATAGCTACACCTTTAATAAAATGAAGGAATGTCTTCAATCATATGTTAGGGAGCTATTTATAGTCTTAAAATCAATGTAGTTTATTTATTTAAAAGATAATCCTGAAAGGGATCATTTATGAATAATAATCTGAAGTCTTTTCATAAAACAATTCACTTTAGTTGTATATTTAGCCAGTGTTATTTGAAGTACGTAACTTTTAAAATATTAAGTGTCTTGTATGATTGAAATATTTGAATGAGTAATTTATTTTGTATCAGGAATGTTTTGGTACTGTGTTTTCATTCAAACCACTGACTTAACAGCTACTACTGTGTGTAACATGTACTAAATATTACAGTTATTGTGTGTAACATTGTTCCTCTTATATTTGTGTGTATATAGGTAATTCATGTTTTCATGTAAATAAATACCATTTTGCAGTTTGTTTTTTAAACTGTGCATTTTTCATTCAAGACTGGTCTGGAGTACATTTTTCAGGCATCTAAATAAGAAACTGAGGATGGAACTGATTTGATGCCCTAGGCACTCAACCTCACTAGCTGTTGCCTAGTTCCAGAAATGTGCATTTCTCTGTATCCTTTGTGTTGCTAATATGCTTTCCACTTATTTCTCTAATTTAGGAAAGACAGTTCTTATAGCATATGAACAGTATCTTCAGAATTCTGAATACTAATTCATGGCTTCTGACCATAATGGAGCCAGCAGCTAAACTATGCTAACCTAATCTAGTTAGTTAATAAATAATCCTGCATAAAAGGATTCCTTTGGTTGATGGTTAATAAATATTTCTCTAACAAAGTTTATATTAGTCTTTGGATAAAAAAGAAATATTATGTTTTGCTTATTTAAGAAATGCATTTGATTAATGTAGTCTTTTAAGATGAGCCTTTTAAATAAAGTTGACCTTGGAGGGACTCAAATATATGAGGAAATACAGCAATACTTCCTATTTACCTTAGTTAACAGATAGTACCTCACTGAGGTAGGCAGCTTCTGATGTAAGACCCAATGATCCTCACTTTGTGGAATTCACACCCTTGTGTAATCATATTCTCTTGAATTTGGGCAAGAGATAATGAAGTTCTGCTCATGAATAATATGGCAGGAGTGCTGGGATGTCATTTCTGAAACTAGGTTTAAAAAAGACCAGCTTCCTTGGATGCACCCTCTTGCTGACTTGCCTTTCAGAGCCCAGCTGCCATGTAAAAAAGACGACATAAAGAAGGCTTTTCTGGTGAATACAGGTGTAGAAAGACACTATAAGATGAGAGGCCGCACGGAGGACGACAGGTAACCCCCACTGATAGTAGACGTGTATTTCCAGCTACATGAGACAGCCTTCTTGAAATGAACCCTCCAGCCTTGGTAAGGCTTGAGAGAATGCAGCTACAACTGACTGAATGCCACGTCATGAAAGACCAAATTATAAACAGTTTGCCTTCCATCAACTATGTGACTTCCAGGTTTCTAACCCACAGATAATGTGAGAGCATTCATTTTTGTTGGTTTTTTTTTCTTCTAATTCAGGTTCTGGGGTACATGTGCAGATGATGCAGGATTGTTGCATAGGTACATACTTGGCAAGGTGGTTTGCTGCCTTCATCCTCCCATCACCCATATCTGGTATTTCTCCCCTCATTATCCCTCTCCACCCTCCCCACCCCCACTGTCTCTCCCCTAGCCCCCAACTACTGACCACAGTGTGTGATGGTCCCCTCCCTGTGTCCAAGTGTTCTACTTGTTCAACACCCATCTGTGAGTGATAACATATGGTGTTTGGTTTTCTGTTCTCGTGTCAGTTTGCTGAGAATGATGGTCTCCAGATTCATCCATGTCCCTATGAAGGACATGAACTCATCGTCAAATTTTTGTTGTTTTAAAGTACTAAACTTTGAATTCGTTTGTTACACAACAGCAGATAATAGTGTTCTTACTATGGCACTGCTCTAAATATTTTACTAATACTAATCAATTTAATTTAGTTCTAGCCACCATATGAGTAGGTACTATTATCTGCATTTTCAAATAGGGAAATTAAGGCATAGATGTGTTCGGCAGTTTTCCCGGGATTACAACTAAGTGAGAGAGTCAGGATTCAAATCCAGTCTATGCTTGTAATCCAAATGCTGTGCTGCCTAATCCATTACAGAATATAATCCCATAGTACCTTTGCTGTTCCATTATCACACCCAGATAGTATCCATGTAAGACCACTTATTTACCAAATAATGTTAACACTGGAGATTTATGGTATTTATTCCTTTACATTTTCGACAAGCAGGTTTAGAACTTAATTTCCAAATACAAAATGAAATTAATAGCACTTATTTCATTTGGTTTTTGTAAGTGCCTGGCACATAGAAAGCGATATTAATACATATGGTAGATACAGAAATAAACAGTGTTCACTGACTGCCAATTTTATGTGGATTTTATTTATTTGTTTGTTTGTGTTTTGAGATGGAGTCTTGCTCTGTCTCCCAGGCTGAAGTGCAGTGGTGTGGTCTGCAGCCTCTACCTCCCAGGTTCTGGTGATTCTCCTGCCTCAGCCAGCTGAGTAGCTGGGATTACAGGCACATTCCATCACATCTGGCTAAATTTTGTATTTTTAGTAGAGACAGTGTTTTGCCATGTTGGTCAGGCTGATCTCAAACTCCTGACTCAGATGATCCACCCACCTCAGCCTCCCAAAGTCTAGGATTACAGGAATAAGCCACTGCAATTTGCCTTATGTGGGTTTATTAAGGATGCCACAAGTGGGTTATATTATCTAATATCCTCAGAGCCTAATTGAATGGGTCTAGAATTTCTGTAAATTGTTGAGAGTTCTTCTGATGAAATATGTAAAAAAAAAAGTTTGATTTGGTAAAGCATTTATTTTGTTTTGACAAGAATTATAAACAGTTTACTTCACATTAAGTTGTTTAGATTTTAAAGCAGGAATAAATGCAATTTGTTTGATACTTCATGAATTACCTATTAATTGGCTTACCTAAAATACCTAAAAAATTTCAAATGCTCTAACACTTGTAACTCTGTAACTTATTTTATATTTATACATATGTATATGTGCATGTGTGTATGTGTATGTATGTAAAGTTAATATGATAAAAAAATACCCACATTTTTTCTGTTAAGAATTCATCTGCCTTAAATTATTTAACATGGACTGTTGGAAACTGGAAATTGGGTCTCAATTATTAGTTGTAATCAATACCCTTCCTCTGTTTCCCAAGTTGCTATAGTAATAATTTTGACAAGATAGAAAAGTACTCTGAGTAGTTGTGGCAGATCCTGCTAAATGCTATCTCAATATTTATTCTATTCATGCTCACTCCAGAAACCAGTTTTATTTGGAGCAGCTATATCCTTTACTTCAAAAACTCTATTTTCCAGCTTCCCTTGAAGCTAGGGATGGCTCTGTGATGTAATTCTGGCCAATGAGATATAAGCATAAATCACTAGGTATAAACTCAAGCTTTTTAAAAAAATTACACATTTGGATTGTACAAACTCTTTTGAACTACAGACTAATTGTAAGTGACTTTTCTAGGAATGAGATATTTTGGTAGAGAACTAGAAAGAGCATCATCAGCTTTGTAGTCGCATAGACCTGGATTCTGTGTCTTATTGTCCCAGCTCCTCTTGGAATCTTAGTATCATATTTGGTAAACATAATGCATAATGC